ACAGGGAGACAGCTCAGGGGGCAGGAGAGTATAGAGGGATGGACACTGGGAAGAGGTAACTATGGGGAGGAAGTGGGAGGGGAGCTGTTGCATTGTAGTAAACTGTGGTCAATGTCATGAGACAAAGTATATGTAAACTGCTGTATGGAAAGTGCATTTGCTCTGTAAATCTTCACCCAAATCACAATAAATAAATAAATAAATAGATTTGATGCACTGAACACCAATGACTGAAAACCAGAGGAATCGTGGGATAACATTCTTTTGGTTACCTAGTGCTGCTCTGACAGAAATACATACCACAAATGGGATGGCTTGAACAAACAGGAGTTTATTCTCTCATAGTTTGGAGGCTTTCAGTTTGAATTCAAAGTGCCAGGCTCCAGGGGCTGGGTGAAAGCCCCTCAACCTTGGGCTTCAGCTCTGCCTCCTGTTCCTGGCCAGTTGAAGCTAGAGGCTTTTCTTCACTCAGACAGCTGCTGGCTGCTGAGACTGACAAGCCCAAGGTTGACAAGTAAAAAGGCACAGTTCCGATGTTACCAAACCACATAACGGGCCATTAATTCAAGTCCATTGTAAGTCCCCAGGTTGGCAGAGCATGGCAGTCTGCTGAAAAATGACAAAGCTACATGTACGGTTCTAATGTGCCATCAGCTAGAGACCATTCCCCAAGTCTTCTCCTTATATACAGGAAGCAGACCACATCCCTAAGGCAGCTACTCAGCTGCTCACAGTAGATTCCACCACGGAGTTGATTACCAGTCTCATCGTGGGGCATAGTACATCCAGCTGCCTGGCCATTCAATCAGGCCCAGCCAAGTTGATACACAAACTTAACGACCACAGACATCAAAAACATCATCCATGAAGAAGGCAAAATGTCACTAAAAAGACAACAAAGGAAGAAAAGACCAAAATGGATGTCAGAAGAGACTCTGAAACTTGCCTTTCAGCAGAGAATAGCTAAAGCAAATGGAAGAAATGACAAGATAAAAGAGCTGAACAGAAGATTTCAAAGGGCAGCTTGAGAAGACAAAAACAATTACTATAATGAAATGTGCAAAGACCTGGAGTTAGAAAACCAAAAGGGAAGAACATGCTCAGCATTTCTCAAGCTGAGAGAACTGAGGACAAAATTTAATCCTCGAGTTGCGATATTGAAAGATTCTATGGGCAAAATGTTGAAAGATGAAGGAAGCATCAAAAAAAAGATGGAAAGAATACACAGAGTCATTGTACCAAAAAGAACTGGTCAATGTTCATCCATTTCAGGAGGTGGCATATGATCAAGAACCAATGGTGTTGAAGGAAGCAGTCAAAGTTGCACTGAAGGAAGTGGTGAAGAACAAGTCTCCAGGAATTGACAAGATACCCACTGAGATGTTTCAACAAACGGATGCCCCGCCAGAGGCACTCACTCAGTTATGCCAAGAGATCTGGAAGACAGCTACCTGGCCAACTGACTGGAAGAGATCCATATTTGTACCCATTCCAAAAAAAAAGGTGATCCCACAGAATATGGAAATTATTGAACAATATCATGACATCACATGCAAGTAAAATCTTACTGAAGATAATTTAAAAAGGGTTGCAACAGTACATTGACAGAGAACTTCCAGAAATACAAGCTGGATTCAGAAGGGCATGTGGAATGAGGGATATTATAGCTGATGTCAGATGGGTCTTAGCTAAAAGCTAAGAATACCAGAAAGATGTTTACTTATGTTTTATGGACTATGCAAAAGGATTTGATTGTGTGGATCATAACAAATTGTGGATAACATTAAGATGAATGGGAATTCCAGAACACTTGATTGTACTCATGAGGAACCTGTACATAGATCAGGAGGCTGTTGTTCGAACAGAAGAAGGGGATACTGCATGGTTCAAAATCAAGAAGGAAGTGCGTCAAGGTTGATCCTTTCACCATACTTATTCAACTTGTATCCTGAGCAAATAATTCAAGAAGCTGGATTATATGAGGAAGAATGTGGCATCAGGATTGGAGGAAGAATGATTAATAACCTGTGATATGCTGACAACACAACTTTGCTTGCTGAAAGTGATGATGACTTGAAGCACTTACTGATGAAGATTGAAGAATACAGTCTGCAGTATGGATTACACTTCAATATAGAGAAAACAAAAATCCTTACAACTGGGTTTTACGGCGGATGGAGAAGATTGAAGTTGTCAAGGATTTCATATAACTTGGTTTTGCAATCAACACCAATGGAAGCAGCAATCAAGACATCAGATGACATATTGCATTTGGCAAATCTGCTGCAAAAGACCTCTTTCAAGTGATGAAGAGCAAAGATGTCTTCTCCTGGAAGACTAAGGTGTGCCTAACTCAAGCCATGGTTTTTGTAATCACCTCTTATGCATGTGAGAGCTGGACAATAAATAAGGAAGACTAAAGAAGAGTTGATGCTGTTGAGTTGTGGTGTTGGAAAAGAATGCTAAGAGTACCATGGTCTGCTAAAAGGGCTAACAAATCTGCCTGGAAGAAGTGCAGCCAGAATTCCCCTTGGAAGTGAGAGTGGCCAGACTTTGTCACACCTACTTTGGTCATGTCAGAAGGAACCATTCCCTGGAGAAGGATGTCATGCTGGTAAAGTGGAGGGTAAACGAAGAAGGGGAAGGCCCTCAACAAGATAGATAGACACAACCTTCCTTCTGAAGAGTGGCTGGTGGGTTTGAACCACCAGCCTTCTGGTTAGCAGTCAAATGCCTTAGGCACTACGTCACCAGATAGAATACTCAATAACACAATACACATTCTTCCCAGGTGCATGTGCATCATTTTACAGGACAGGCCATAGTCTAAGTCACAAAATTTAAAGAGACTAAAATCATGCAAAGTATCTTCTCCAACCACAATGGAATCAAACTAAAAATCAATAATACAAAAAAACTGGAAAGTGGGAAGGGGAAAGGAGGGTTTATTGCTTAAATGGGTACCAAGTTTCTGTTAAGGGTAATGAAAAACTTGGAAATGGATAGTGGTGATGGTTGCACAACATGATGAACATAATGTCACTAAGTTCTACTTGTAAAAAGTGTTGAAATGGTAAATGTTCTGATATATACGTGTGTGTAAGTGTGTGCGT